CAGGCGAAGGGCTTGCCAACGGTTTAGTATCCGGTATACGGAGATTTTTGTGGTCATTGTGCGCTGGAAATGAAGCGAGAAACCACATTTTGTAACCATTCTTGAATTCTGGTGGCCAAACGAAGGTGCACATTTTCAGCTGACCTTTTTGGCAAGTAAGCACGATCATTTTGCTTTTTACAAAGTGGTGGACAACGAATGTTTTCTCATGGGAGAAAACTAAATTCGACAGTTCACCACTTTCGGCCAAGCGAAGCAACTCTTTAACTCTTTGGAGTCTACTCTGTTGCGGTGTAAGTTCTTGCACTTTTTGGAAGGCTTTACCCCGAACTCATTTTTCAATATTTGCCGAATGGAATATTGCGATATGTTCTGCTAACGAGCCATTTTTCTGCCACTGCGACGCGGGTTGCTGTTTTCTTCCGTCCACTTCCTTGTCGTCGGGCTACGCTATCAGTACCACGGTAACGAGCGATGGTACGAGACACAAAAGATTTTATCAGATTTAAATGCTGGAGTACTCTAACGATAGCCACTTGATGTTTTCAGCCAAATATAAAGAAATCACATTATCACTCTTGAATTCCATCACGAATAACTTTTTTTTCTTGTAATCAATATAATGAGCTGTCACTGCAATAATTTTAAGAGCTGTCGCACGAGTGGCTTAGAAATTACATCAGTCTGAAGTTGGTTGCAGTTTTTTCATCTCAGCCTGTATATATTTACTATGTGGGGTCTAAATTTATATTTCGAGGTGTTACAAACGGAATAACAAACTTAATATACCCTCCATACTGTGGTGGTGGATATACAATGGCAAAGATTCCAATGAATCTTAATCCCAAAATTTCAAAAAATATGGAATAGGGCGAACTTTCCACTCTACTTGGGTTACGTTGCCGTGCAATCTTTACTATTCATTTCTACTGAGATTTTCCTCTTTTTTATACCCTCCACCATACATAGTATGGAGGGTATATTAAGTTCGTCATTCCCATTTGAAGATGGGCTATATCGGTCCAAGATATCGAAATTCCACACAAGGAGTCCCTTGTGAGTACTTTACCTCCTGAGAGAGAATTGTCTATATAGGTCCACAATATTGGTATTTTAAAGATTTTAACAGAATTTTTAATGGATTTGATTTTTTTGAAAAGTTTCTAATTCGTTCCAAATGGTGGAGGGAATTCAAAGTTCGGCCCGGCCGAACTTACTGCTTTTATACCTGTTTTTTTTTTTTTTTTTTTTTTTTTTGTGGGTTACACTTAAATCCCGCCATTTTTTTCCAATCATTCCAAGAATATTCAAACTTTGAACAATAATTACTCTCAATAAAAAGTTTACCAATATTAGAACTGTTTGAGTTCACGATTAAGTTCAAACTTGTTTCTAATTTTCCCCAAACTGTGCAGATTCCAATAATTTTACCCAATGACAAGCGATAATGTGAAAAACATAGGGCCAAAAATGCGAGGCAAAGCTCAATCCGTGAAAAATATTAATACGATTTTAGACAATTATTAAATATTTTTTCACAATGCATTGCATAAAAAATATGGGTATTAAGATCAGGAAGCCCCAACAATAATCTCAGGTCAGTTAATTCAATTTGAAGATTCCTATAAAAAAAACTTGTTTGTACAGAGCCACATTATAATGACATTCATAATTCATATGTTCGCTTAATACGATCTCATCCTATGCAAATAGTACTCTACTTTGTGTTCCTTAATTATTTCTCGATAAATAATTCATTGAGACTGGTGGTCATACATTTGTCATACAGATAAATATAAATTAATTGGTCCCATTCGTAACACAATTGATTTTTGTGGCTCTTGGCCACAACATCAATGGTTATTAACAGACCATGAAGAGTCCAACCCTAAGTGATGTACATAGACAGCAAACAATTATCTTTCTCATTATCAAATCAATGGATACGACTGCGACGACGATGACAACAACAAAAGCAGCAGCACACACACAGATTACACACATCGAAATTGAATCGAATAGAACTGAACAGAAATTCGTGAGTGAATATTTTATTTTTTTGTCTCACTATCCTATGACGTGTGCAGCCACCACATATTTATGACACACATAGCAAAGTGAAGCAATTAATACATATATACAAACATATGTATGCATGTATGTTCGTTCCAATTCGACACCCACTTTCCACCTATAGAGGCAATGATATTGAAATGCGTACGTGTGTGTGTGTTGGAATATTAGCCAATTTCATTTTTTTGTTGGAAATTAAAAATCAAAATATTTTGTGAAAATCAAACAAAATTGTGGAGAGAATAAAATAGGTTTCACTCTCATGCCAAAGAGACTCAATAAAACTCATCTCGCTCATGTGGTATCACCCAATTTTAGAAATTTCCCAAAATACCTTGTGACATTTGAAGATTTTACTGCACAGTGGATTGAAACATATTAGCGATACTTTCTAATATATTTGTACGTATTAGGTCTGGTGGGACTACTAGCACTTCGTGTCAGAAGTAACCAAATGTTATACATTGTTTACAGGGAATCTACACATGAGGTAGTTCCTTAATAGAGAACTCTTGTCATAAACTTATGCTATATCTATAAAAAGAGGAAAATGTATGTTTGTAATTTATGGACTCGAAAACCGCTTAACAGATCTTCCTGAAAATTTCCAAGTACACTACAACATCGCCTAAATTTGCAAATTATATTAAAATCTGCTCAGATTTAGATATATGCACCAAACACGATATGTATGTTCGATTCCAACTAAATTTGTATTGTGTGACGCGATTTTGATCAGAAAATAAATTAGTCAAATTATATTAAAATCGGATCAGATTTGAATATAGCTCCCATATATATTTTCGGCCGATTTCATATATTTGATACACCAAACACGATTCGTATACCCGATCCCAATGAAATTCGGCATGATTGACTAAATTTGGAACAAAAATAAATACATATTTTCGGCCGATTTTACATATTTGATGCACCCAACATGTTATGTATGTCCGATTCCAATAAAATTCGGACAGAGAGACGAAATCTTCTACCCAAAAACCTTGCAGAATTATGTTGAAATCAGTTGAGGTTTAGGTGTAGCTCCGATATATAAATTTCGGGAGATTTCATGTATGTTATGCACCAAACACGTACATGTACAGGGTGAGATGAAAAGACTGCAACCAACTTCAGACTGCTGTCATTTCTTAACAACTCGTCCGCAAGCTGTTAAAAATTATCGCAGTGACAGCTCATTACATTGTTTACAAACGTACAATAGCATTTTGGTGAGAATTTTCCAGAAAAAATGTTATTCGTGATGAAATTCAAGCGTTACAGTGAGATTTCTTTATATTTGGCTGGAAAACCACAACTGGCTATCGCTAGAGCACTCCAGCGTTTAAACGTGAATAAATCTTTTGTGTCTCGTATCATCGCTCCTTACCGTGATACTGGCAGCGTAGCCCAACGTCAAAGAAATGGAAGGAAGAATACAGCAACATCAGCAGAAATATTTCGAAAAGTAAAGAAACGACTTGATCGAAATCCGCATCGCATGGCCGAAAATGGCTCGTGAGCTGAACATATCGATTTATTCCATTCGGCAAATATTGAAAAATTGAAATTCCAACGAGTGCAAGAACTTACACCGCAACAGAATGAAATAGACTCAAAAGAGCTAAAGAGTTGCTTCGCTTGGCTGAAAGTGGTGAAAAACATTCGTTGTCCAGCAGTTTGTAAACAAACAAAATAATCGTGTTTACCTGCAAAAGAAGTCAGCTAAAAAATGTGCACCTTCGGTTGGCCACCAGACACTAGAAAACTAGCGGCGGCCATGGTGATGGTATGGGCCGCCATAACAGCCGCTCTCAGCTCGTATCATTCGACCGTGGCATCAGAATAAATGCCGAATATTATCCCGAAAATATTCTGGAGTGTGTGTTAAAGCCTTGGGCACGCAAACATTTTGGCCGCAGACCTTGGACATTCCAACAGGACTCAGCACCACCGCACTCAGCACGCCCCACCCAAGAATGGTTACAAAATGAAGTTTCTGGCTTTATTTCCAGCGCACAATAGCCACCAAAATCTCCGGATACCAATCCGTTGGACTATTGTGTCTGGAGATTTTGGAAAGCAAGTTTGGCACTAAAAAGTACAAAAGTGTCGATCACTTCAAGCAAGTGCTTCACCGGGAATAGGTCAAAATACCGCAGAACAACATTGGGACAGTATGTTACGGTTACATTGGCCGTTTGAAGGCCAAAGGTGACCAATTCGAACTAATCTAAACTTATTAAAAAAATTGATGCTATTTTTGCTTCCATTCAATGAAATTTAAAAAAATGTAAAAATCATGGAAGTTGACTTTGTTGCAGTTGTTTTATCTCACCCTGTAAACATTGGGATGAATCAACACGTTCTCACTGTCCATCTATGTACATTCATAATAACCTCTAGCAATTAGAGACGGATCTTTAATATTGAGATTGAATTGAATGGTAGTCTAGTTACTTAAAAGTGGATAATATCTTGAAGTTCTTCACTTAAAATGCAAAAAAGAAATTGTAAAAATAATAAACTAATGCACAGAGGATTTCGGCTAATTTCAAAACTTACGGCTTCTAAAAAATAGTCATATTTTAACTAATTTCCGTTTCTTCTGATTTGTGTGTTTATTTAACCATTTATCCGAGATTCATCAATGTTATGATATTATTGCAATTCTATGTATCCATTAATGTTCAATTTTATTTTGGACTTCACCCTTAAAATGCTTCCATTCCTGTGCAGCAAAACCACTAGTTTTCCTATCGTTCGGAACCACTGTACAATATGTGTATGATTGAGAGAAAGAGAGAACGCAAAAAAGTTTAGAAAGTGTGTGCACTGACGCTTCCTTCCCCCACCACTCTCCCTTCACCAGCAACGAAAACACCAACATACAGCATTTAAAAATATTTCCACTTCCATAGAGTCGACTAATCAACGGGGATATTTTTAGATCAAATCTGAATAAAAGAATCAACAGTGAAAATTGTGTTTGTTTAGCGGTGGCTAAGGAAAATATTCCGAAAATATCAATTTTTAGTTTTGCGTTAATATTAAGGTGCGACAGTAGTGATTTCTTTGAAAAAAGGTGATATTATCAAAATCATTTCGTTTTAATCGAACTTTTTTTTAAAATTACTCACGTAATGAGTGCGTTTTACTGGCTAAAAACAAATATATATTTATGTCCGAATTTCAATGTAAACAAATGAAGAGACGCAGCAGTGACCATCGAATGTCGTAACATTGTATGGAAGTACATTTGTATGTGCACAGCACAAGTGTAGGGAAAAACAAACATTTTCAATAGAAATGCAAAAACAAAATCCATCCAAAAGCCATTGTCGAAATAAATCAGTAAATATGTATTGAACTTTGCCGAACTCAGTGGTGTGTAAAGTGCCCTGCAAATAGCGAAGCGAAAACAATAATTTGTTCATATTTACAGTAAAATAAGTACATTAAACATTTAGAGCATGAGGTTATGTGCGAACAGTTTATTTCATCAAATTAAATTAATTATGAATGTTTAGCAAAAAAAAAAAAAAAATAAAAAAAACGTGCTGCTTATTAATCATGAATTTCTACACGTTACTTTTTAATTTGTGAATCAGGTATATTCGTATATATATCTATATACTTATGTATACATAAATGCTTCGAACACATAAACAACTCACTGGGATTATAATTAATTGGAAAATTGGCAGTAAATTTAACACACTAAATTCTTTGTTACCTTGCAACACTACGTGGGTGGACTCAGGATTCTGAGATGATTAAGTTCTGACTGTATTTTCGACAATCAAACACATTTTCGACAGACAAAAAAGGTGAAAGGTATGAAACTCCATATCTTTGTTAAAAACATTAGAGAAGTAAAATATGCCATGATCTTACAAATATCGTAACGTCCTATAGAATTTTCAATTTAATTTACGGATGGAGCTATTATTGCGTTCACAGTTCTAAAAACCTTAATAGTTTTTAATGGAATACTACGAATTTTGGCGGGAGAAAACATTCCCATATAACGATGACGTGGTCTTGTATTATTTTACATACATATGTGAATCTTTGATCCATTTGAATCTTTAAACATACATTGGTTGTCTAGGATAAGTGTTATCCTGACTTTAACCAATAGTCCGCGCACACCTTCATGACCATTAACCTACATATGTGCCTTCAAAGGAGACTTTAGCTTCTCGTATATATTCCGCTATATCCCCATTATCTGACATTAAATGCCAACTAAACGGGCTTCAATGCACAGATGAGAAGTATATTTTTCATGCATAGAACTAGTAAAAAAAAAATAATTTATAGAGGGTATATATCATTTGATACGGCCAAAACGTACCTTATCGAATTAACGGTTTTAGACCCTAGGTCTCTTTAGACCAAATCCAGGTACGAAAATGGACAATGTCGGTCCACTTCATCATATACCTCACCAACAATGGGTCAACATTTTGAACAATTTTACCTCTTTTAAATTGAGATGTAAGAGTCCGATTGTCTTCAAATGACACACATCATAATATTTTCATTAATCCAAGGTCTGGTGTAAAGTTGGAATATATCGATCCACTCCTTCTGGTAGCTCCCTCACAACGGGTCAAAACTGTGAATAACCAAGCGATCATAAAATTTGAAATAAGAATCCGGAATTTATGATTTCGATTGCGATTGGATATAAATATTCGATTTTCTTGTAATTTTGCCCACTCCAATATTTTTGTCTGTATTAGATGATGTGTGAAAATGTTTGTATGTTTGTAATTTATGGACACGAAAACCGCTGATCAGATTTTTTTCCAAGTATACTACAACATAGCCTGAAAGTAATAAAGGCTATATACATTTTCGAAATTCCATTGGGAACTGGAGATATAGCATCAGAATTGGAAGTACCTCCCAAATAGCTCCCATATATATTTTCGGTCGATATCACGTATTTTACATACCAATTTCAATGAAATATGGACGGTGTGACGGAATTTGGTGTAAAAGTAAATTTTGTCAAATTATATTGAAATTGGTTCAGATTGGGATATGATACCCACAACGCCTTTGCAATGGTATTAGGCTAACAGTAAAAAAATACACACCAACTTAATTGACGGTACGATTATTACGGGAAGTATATATCTATCTCGAATTCTCTAATTGCAACAGAAATGCCACTCAACTTCCAAAGATCGCAGTTTCCTGCACGCTTGGCATTTGCTATGAAATTAATAAATCCGAAAATCCGAATCCGTATATGCGGACAAAATTTGGCATGTTCCTGCTTTTCTCATGGTTCCTGTCATTTTCACGCGTTGGAAGACCAAGCTATTTGTTTATTTATTAAAACAATTTTTTTAAATTTTTGAATTTATTTTATTTTTTTACGTCAACATATATTCGTTCATAAAATTTTGAATGTATATAAAATGAAAAGTGGTAGCGAAGCGCACCGGGTTCAGCTAGTCTCATATAAAGTGAAGAAATTTACCAACATAGTCTAAACCTGGCACGTCTTAATATTTATGTCATATATATATTGGTCCAAGTTAGTGAAAACATTGGGATTTGTAATTTTAAGATAATCTGATGCTTACATTGCATTTTATGAGAGTTATAATTATTCAAAATATTGACCCTTTGTGGGTGAGGCCGATATTGTCTATTCGTTACCTAGCACTGATAAAAAATATTGACAGTTTGTGGGGTAGGTACCAGGTCCCAACTCGATCTAAGTTTGATAAAAATATTACTATGTTTGGGTTCAAATCGGATATCGACTCCAAATGTCCATGAGACACGTTTTGGACATATCAAATGACATATATCCTCCGTAGCCATATGGCTGAGGGTACAGTTAAACATTTTTTTTTTTTTTGATTTTGATGAAGTATTTGTTATATCCTTAGTCATACGGCTACAAGGGGTATATATCATTCGATACGGAATAACGGTTTAGACTCTATGTCTATTTTGCAACAAACTCTCTAACGGAGTTATTTAGTCCAAGCTTAGTGCCTCGCAATATTATTACCAAATTTAAATCGAGTTCGGAGATGGGCAACCTCGGATTAATCCTTCTGGTATCTCTCCCAAAATATTTTGCTTCATTGAAAGAGAAAGAATTGTCCGATTTTGAATCGGCCCAAGTACCTCCCTAACAAGTGGTCAAAATTTTGAGTAATTATAACTTTTATAAAATGTGAAGAAAGGGTCTTGTTGTTTTCAAATTTCGAACATCCCAATATATCTGCCAACACAATATCTGGTATGAAGAACGGATAGAACAGACACCTACTTCTGGTACCTCCCCCACAATGGTTCAACATTCTCAACACAATCTGGTGTGAATATGGAATACATAGGGCCACTCTTCCTAGTACCTCCCCCACTCCCGGTCAAAAATTTGAATGGTAATATCTCTCATAAAATGCAAAGTAGCCATCAGTTACTCTTCTAATTTCACACATGCCATTAATTGTATATATACAATGTCTGGTGTATGGATAGAACATATCGGCTCACATCTTCTGCTACTTCACCCACAAAATGTCAAAATTTTGAGAAACCAAAGGATCATAAAGTACGAAATAAACATCCGATTGTCTTCAAATTTCACACAAGATCCCACAAATAGTTTCAATATATTTCTAGGGTGAAAATATTGATTAACTATTATTCTTCTAAGATTGGAAATAAATGTTCAATTGCACTTAACTTTTACAGATTTAAATGTTTTATTAGTATTAGATGAAACGAAATACATCGGTCCTCACATTTCAGCATTTTCCAATGTATATCACATATATCATATAAACTGAAGGAAGCAATCGATATTGTCCAAATATGGCACGTTGTATTATTTATATCAGATACAAAATGGACTCCATCGGAATCATAACGAAAGTCAAAATATATATTTATATCTATTAAGAGCTCAAAATACCAACATTTTGATTAAATTGTACAGAAAATAGTATTAAAACGTACAAAACACTAGAAATCGGAGTTTATCCTTATATATGGGCTATACCAAGAAGTGGACCGACATTACCCATTTTGTTAACCAATGATTCTTGATGTAATGCAAAGCTCTCTATAAGCTTCTGAAGCTCTATATTAATGTTGCGAAATATATCTTAAAATCGTGATGTACCTTTGTATGTTTTCGAAGGTGGTTAAAGGCCTTAAAAAGCTTGGAGTTCATATTTCTTTTTCGAAGATTTTCAGTAAAATTTTGTCTAGAAAACTTCTCCTTGTGATACTTTCTGTCTAAAATGATTTTTAAGTCTCTTTCATTAATCAGCACAAAAAACAGATCGAGGAAAAATTTATTAAAAAATTAAGAATTTTATTTGCATTTTTTGCCACATTGATGCAAATTCTTTTTGGTATATAATGCAATAATCTGTAATTTTGATGAACTGTAAAATTATCGAAGACATTATGTACGTAAAGCATATGGATTGCAAAAAATCTTGATCAGAAAGTTTCAAAAATTGACGAAGAGGGGAAACTTGCCTTCACCCTTCTCCTCTTTCGATGTATACTTTAAAAAAAGAAACTTTAGCCGGAGCGAACTTTTAATACCCTCCAGCATTTGAACGGAACTTGAAAAATTTCAACAAATTCCCAAAAATACCGCTTAAATAAAAAACATTATATGGGGGCTATACGAAGACGTGGACCTGCATACGAAATTTTTGGCCATAGACTGTATTACCCATTACGAACTTCTAATACGAAATTTAAATAATATTTCTAAAATCAATCAAATAAAAATACCGAATATAGGGAGGTATCGTTATATGGGGGATATACGAAAAAGTGGACCGACATGACCCATTTACGAATTTAACCCACTGGGAAAATACACACGTGTGCTCAATTCGTTCGAAATATAGCGTGGTTGCAAAAGACAGATGGACAGACACATACACACACAGACAGATGGACATCGCTAAATCGTCTTAAAATGTTACTCTGATCAAGAATATATATTTTTTTTCCAGGTGAATAACTAATAGTTCAAGAAAATTCACATTAGATCGGTGGTTCAAAGAGACAAGAGAATTG